TGAAGACTCACGAGTCTGTTCCAGTTTCTCCTCAGGAACGCCAAGAAGTGTACTGAGCTCGGCTAGGGACAGTTCCCTAGACCGTTCAGCGTTCTCCGCTTGTCTACGTTTCAGCTCGACCTCGTCCAGGGGAAACAGTCTATCTTCGGGCTCTTCGTCGTATTCCTCCTTCTCTTCAGCTGCTCAAATGTCCTTTCCTTCTTGTAGGGCATCCAGTTCCTCCTTCGAGAACACTCGCGCGTACGAAGGCATTATCTCGGGTTCTTCGGCAGCGGTTACGATCTCTTTAACGTCTCTCTCCGGGCTAGTGTTCTCTTCCAGGCTAGTCTCCGAGTCCGTTCTTTCTAGTTCAACGCTACCGTCTGGAATGCCTTCCTCAGCGACTATAGGCTCTTCCGGTTGGGTTTGAACGAACACTTCTCTCTTTTCTTGACTGTGTCCGCTCCGACCTAGGTGACTCCTCGGGTCGTTAATGATGTTAGCGAGCTTACTCACACTCGACTCCACATTCTCGTAGTTATCCTTCAATATTGGGGCTCCTCGTTCCACTGCGTTCTCAGGTTGTAGTTTTATCTCTCGCAGGTAACACGGTTCCTCAGTTATTGTTTTCTCGTTGCGTCGGCCACTCATCTCGTTACTGTTACTGTCTTCTTCTTCGGCACTCTCTTGCACTGCACTTTCTCGTTCCACACTCCACTCTTGGCTTGCTCCGGGGACCATCGACGCAGCGTCTCGTACGGGCTCGAGGGCTCCAAAGGTCATAGGTATTCCTTGCTCTACCTTTCCAGTTACACACTCGCTTTTTTCAGGCGATTCACACTTATCCAACACGGTGGGTTTCACTCCACCCAGCATAGGACGCACTTCATACCTTGCGGCCGACTCCTCCAAGGAGTTCAAAGTGTTCCTACTTGTGTCGTTCCATTGACAAGAGGAAGGAGCGACACTCCCTTCCCCTCCCTCTCGCCCCCATCACTGCTGTCGGGGCGCTTGTCCTTGGACTGGTGTAGACACTTGAGGAGCAGCCGTTCCAAGCGTCTTCAGAGACGCCTTCAAAGGACAGTCCGAAAGCAAGTGACCAGGTTCGTCACACAAGAAACACTTACGACCGTTCCTCGGCGGGTTGTTCCGATAACCGTTCGTAGGAGGATGTTCACACTCGACGCCGATATGACCCGCAGCCTTACAGTTGGTGCAAGTCGCCCTACCTCGGCGACAGCTGAGCCGGTTACATCCAAGAACGTGACACCTACCACACACAATCTGACCGTCTTGAGTGTACAAGTCCGGGCCATGATGAACGCCACGGAACGGGGGAGTAGGGGTGGTCGCGGCCGGTTGAGCCTGAGGTATCGGAACACTCTGAGCAGCAGGAGAGTAAGCAGCAGCCACATTCATGGCAGGAGCCGGGTAAGCAGCAGCCAGAGGACGTTCCAGCAACTGTTGCTGCTGTTGCTGTTGTTGCACTAGCAAATTCTGGGTCTGTTGCATCATGTTCATCATCCGTTCCAAAGCAGAGTTCTCGGTGTGAATCGTCGAAGTGTTCTCGAACTCATCGTCGTGGTCAGAAGGGAGATGCATGTTCTTGAACAGTAACTGCGTTACAGCACCACGGATAGAGTCAATCATACTCCCGTCGAGAGCGGCTCTCCACTGCTTGTTTCGTAGTCCCGTTAGGAAGTACGGGTAGCGTATTTGCTCGTCGTAACACTGAGCGTCGTCACACAAGCCCGAGATCATGTCGCCCCACACTTCGGCGGACATTCCTCGAGGACGCTTAGTGTTCTGGAGCTTCTCGATCAGCTGCAACGGGGTCTGGCAGATAAACTGGTTATGGAACCGGGTCCGGAGAGTATCAAAAGAGTTGATACGAGAGTACGTCCACCAATCCTCACCAGTTTTGCCCTTCAGGCACTCGCGGAAAGCACTGAGACGAATGGATTCCTCCAGACCCACTGTAGCACGCTCAAAAGAGTCCCAGAATGTCTTCGCCTTCTCGACCGACGCTCCATCAGAGTAGAACGGCTGAATCATGCGGATAGCGTTCCGGATGTTAGTAGGCATCCCGAAAGGCACCACTGCAGCCGACGGCGCGGGATGACTGTACCCAGAGGCGTAGTTACTGCCATAACTTCCGTTAGGGCCGCTCCAAGGAGCTCCTCCAAGGTTAGCCGACGAGTAACCAGGCACAGCGGTCCCGTATCCTCCAGACGGACCAACTCCAGCAGCAGAGGGTTGAACAGTCGGACCGAACCCACTCGTCGTCGGGGAAGTGTTTACCGGGCCTGGACCTTGGTTAGGCTGAACAGTCGCGAAAGAGACGGCAGGCGCCCCTCGTGCTGGAACTCCTGGAGACACTTGGGACGCTTGAGTTACCACCGGGGAAAAACCCACGCCTACTCCTCTGCTAGGAGCCTGGGCGTTCCAGCTAGCAGCTCCCGGCCCACTCACCCACAAACTTGGGGCGACGGTCACGGGAGTGCTTCTCTGCGTCGCGTCCGACGTGAGGAAGGGATCAGCTCCTAGTCCCACTGTCATCGGACTCTGGATAGTGTACCCTTGATAGGACGGTATCGCCATCCGGACTCTCGCGGGGGAAGGGATCACTTGCCCGCCGTTCGGGGGCACATTTCCCGTGTTTCCAGTGTTCCAAGGCTGCGAGGGCTGCTGCAAAGCACCAGGGAGGCTCGCCGCCACCTCAGGAGGCGCCATAGATTGGAGCCATCTACACGCGTTAAGCCAGCCTTCAGTCGAGTCGGTAGATCCGGGTGGGAACGCCACGAACGTGTCAGGGTTCGAGTCTTGAGGCACCGCGGGAACGCTCGTCGAGGTGTCTCTCGGGACCGAGCTTTCTTCAATCCTTCCAGTACCCGCATCTGGGCCACTCTGACCACGTACTCGGACACCGGCACGCTGTACCATAGAGTGCACGGCCCCAATACCTTCAGTAGTAGTCAAACTCGGTCGGGAGGGATCAGTTAGGATCTCCTGCGGTCCAGCGACCGTTTCTTCGTCTCCAGACTCGTCGTAGACGTCTTCGTAAGGGCCTTGCGCGGAAGACATCTCAGCCCCAATGTTTCTCCGTCGAAGTAGTAGTAGTACACGCTCTTCTGCGAGTCTTCACTCAAACGAGACCTTCTCCAGCAAGCAGACTACCCTGCTTCTCCACCAAGTGTCCTACCCCACCTCTAGGGTCGGGTAGTCCGCGGCTGTTTAGGGAGTACGGTCTCGAGTAGTGGCAGGAACGGTAGCACAAGATAACTTAATACACCAAAAAGCTTCTTGTTTGTTTCTCTCACTCAGCTTAGGCAAGAGGTAGTAAATGTAGGACTGAGACTAATGAACGAGGGCCTACCGCCAACTCGCTTTCCTATACACGACACCGCTTAAGTATATCTTGATCCAAAAGAGTCCTTCTCCATGACATCCGTCCTCGTGCGGCGACAGGAAGGTCCGAGACGCGGTCCTCCTTGCGCATCCGACCTTGTCCCCAGCCACGTAAGACGATAGGAGGGAACTCGCACACCGTTCCAGTACTCCACCGTAGCGTTCCAATACAATCACACCATAACTTCACCAGTCTCCTGTGCGAAGTGAGTGGGAGCTTGCGGGGTCAACGGGAACCAGCCTCCCGCCGTCGCAGCACGCTGACCTTCGCCGAGGTCCCCTGTCACAAAAGCCGGCCCGCCAGCGTCTGGCACGACGCCTACATTCCCGGGTACGGGACAGTCGTCGCCCACTCTGCGCTTCTTCAGCGGGTGGAAGAACTCGGCAAACCACCCATTCGACGGATGGCGTTTCCCTCCCTCCGGAACCACCACCAGCACGTGAACAGGTGTGTTCAACGACTTGGCATCCTCTAACGTGGGTACGAACTTGACGTCCTTCTCCGATAAGCCAACCAAGTTCAGCGGCGCCCCCGCAGCGCCCAATAGCTCCAAATCACTCGTGTCACTTACACCGCCCTTTACGTCGTTCTCCGTTAGCCACACACCAGCGCCTTTCTTCTTCTTCGCCAGGAAGAGCTGCAGGTTCTTGGCGTCGCATGTGATCGTCGATGCGTTCTTCTCCTTGATCGCGTCCTTCAAGTGCCCCACAGACTTGTTCTCGTCAATGTCCACAGGGAACGCGCTCCCAGCCACACCAACGACGACACAGTACAAAGTAACCATAGTTCCTCGAGCCGCTGATTCTGGAATGAGCACGTGGGAAAAGAAGGTGAGCCTCACCTCACCGTGAGGGGGTGGATAATTTTGCACCTGTTCTCTGGATTTTTATTTATCTGGATTTTATCCAGAGTCCCGAGATAATCCAGCGATTTCGTTTACCCTGTCATAACAGTTTCGAATCGTTTGAGTGCCCATCTCCTTTTCACAAAATTTTTATTGTAGGCTGACCCATTCACCAAAGATGAAGACAAAATATTAATACCTTGCTAAACTTGTATGATGATACTTTATTGTAACCTGGCCACGAAATATTTATTCAAGCTGCCCTGATTGGGCAATATTTGTCGACCTACTGGATCCGTCGCACAATAACACCGTTCCTCGCCCAAACATTTATGTCGAGCACGAAGCATCGACTGGACGTGAGGTAAACATTTATGTCGAGCACGAAGCGCACCGATTGGATGCAAGCAACCAGGCAAACTGCGTCGATGATTAAATATTTACATCTAACTTCGTATATATTGTCAATCGGGCACAGCAACTAAGTAAGAGCTCTGCTGTAACGGGGTACGTAGCCCTAAGTGTACCCTGGTTACATGAAGTGTGACACCTCACGCTTCAGGAGTATGACACGTCATACTCCCGGATATTTGGTACAAGGTACCAAGGTCGTTCAAAGCCAACCATTGGTTAAATGACATTGCATTTCTATAGGTAACTAATAGTTTGTATTAAACCCAAACTTAACCTACCTATAAATATACTCAGTTTACAATCTACCTTAATTAGGTCACTTCGCTCTCTTTAATCAAAGAGGGGACCTGTGAACGGGCAATTGGAATGAGAACAATTTAAATCCCCAAACGAGGATCAATTGGAGGGCAAGTCTGGTGCCAGCAGCCGCGGTAATTCCAGCTCCAATAGCGTATATTAAAGTTGTTGCAGTTAAAAAGCTCGTAGTTGGATTTCTGTTTTGGATGTCCGGTCCGCTCTGCCGTTCACTGAGAGTTTGTATACTCTTGGAAGATAACTTCCTCTAGCGCAAGGTGCTGTGTGACCCCGTCACACTTGGTAGCACTAGTAGTCAATCCACGCCACCGCGGGTAGACTACCTGAACCTCTCCGAAGTTCGTTGCCGTGGATAGGAGCGACTTCTCCCATATGAACGACTCTCAGTTCGAGTCGGTTCGGAAGATGGCAGGCATCTTCGGGAGGGGCCCTGCAGAGCCTGGTGATATTAACACCGGCTGAGCTGCTCGAGCGCGTCAATGCATTCGACGCGTACGAGCAGGGCCTCATCGCGCATGTGCGGGAGAACCTGCAGGCTCCGGCGGCGGAAGCAACTCCGCCTCACCCGAAGCCAATACGGCTGAAGGTTAAGCCGTATGAAGGAAAGGAAGGCGATAACCTTCACTTCTGGGTCCGAGAAGTAGAGCTCGCGATGGACGTGGCTCTGATCTCGACCGAGCAACTGCGTGTTGCTTTTGCACTCTCAAACCTTAGCGGCCGTGCTAAGAGTTGGGTGTACACACGGGAAGCTACATCCCCTGGATGTTTCACATCCTGGGCTCAGCTGTGCGAACAGCTCCGAGCCGCGTTCCTCCCGGCGAACTACGAGTAATGCCAGCGTTCGCGCTTCCTCGCGTGTATACAAGGAATGCGCGAACTGCACGAGTATGTGCAAGAGATACGGGAGCTCACGGCGTCCCTAGTGGGAAACCCACTCAACAAACACATCAAGATGACTGTGTTCATGGACGGCCTTCGAGTGGGCCCCGCACGCACTCAGCTGTTCCGGGTGCAGTCAAGCACCCTTGAAGAGGCGATCCAAGTGGCTCTTCAAGAAGAGTACAGCCATCGCCAGGCGCGTACGCCGGCCTCAGCATGGCCTGGGAGTTCCTTGTCGGCCCCCGGTCGAGCAAGCCCAAACGGACCAGTTCCCATGGAACTCGGGTCCGCCGAACAGCGTGACATCCACTGCTTCGGCTGTGGGAAGATGGGCCACTTCAAGCGCGACTGTCCCGCGGAAAGACTCCGCAGACGGTCCTTCTCCAAGCCCGTCCTCAAGGGTCGCTGGCAGAAGCCAGGATCCCGGGGACAGGGGAACGCCGGGAGCCAGTAGGGGCGGGGCGCCCTACTGGGGAAGAACTAAGCCTTCGTGATGGGTGCGATGGTGGTGCGTACCACGAAGACTTAGCTCCTGAGAGGCTTCGCACTCTCGAATCGGCGAAGAGCAGCGGCGGGCTGCTCGTAGTACACGGATGTGTACGGGGATACGATCATCCCATTAGAATCTTGATCGATTCTGGGGCGTCGAAGAATTTTGCACGCCGCCAGACGGTTGCTCGTAATAGCAACAAGCTGTCGGATGCTTTGAGAGAAAGCAAGGGCAACGGGACGGTGTCAGTACGACTGGCCGACGGGAAGGTCGTCACTGTCCCCAACGTCCAAGTGGATCTGGCCGTCAAGTCTGAAGACCTTGACAGCCTCGAACAGTTCACTGTTCTCGACATGGATCCATATGATATGATCCTGGGCATGGCCTGGCGTGAGGAGCACGAGCCGTGGATCGACTGGCGAGGTAAGGCAATCGGTGCCAGCCGCCCTGCGCAGTCCGACAGAGCATTGCTGAGTCATGTTCCTACCTCTGTCAGGACCCGGGCGCCCGCGAGGGCTGCCAGGGTACCAAAGCATCCGGCAGATGCTTGGGAGTCGTCGACGTATATGACGACTCCAAGGATGTTTTGATGGTGGCCGCGCCCAGAAGAGGCGCCGGCCAAGTGGGTAACTTAGGTCCACAGGCGGGTAACTTAGCTCCGCAGACAGCTTCAGCTGTCATGAACACTGAGAACAGCGTGTTCAGGGTGGGTAACGGAGTTCCACTCACGGTCGCCCAGACCTTAACTGAAGAGGAAGGCGTTGAACACGCTTCCTGTGTGGATAACACAGTGCCACACGCGGTCGCCCAGACCTTAACTGAAGAGGAAGGCGTTGAACACGCTTCCTGTGTGGGTACAACAGTACCACACGAGGCCACGAGTGCCTCGGATGTCGTAGCGACGACATCCCTAGACGTGGGCAGCAAAGCTCCCCGTCACAGACGCCGTCGGCAAAGATGCCGCCGCCGCCTCAAGTCGGATCCGAGCTTCGTTCCGATCGACGTCGCTTCAAGCGACTCGGAGTCCTGGGCCCGGGCTCCTCCGACAAGGCCGGTGGAAGAGTGTTATCACATCTTCGATGGCGAGACTGGTTTACCCGTCAAGACATCTGGTGTCCACTTGAAACCGTTGCCAGAGGTTGCAGAGATACTGAACTTCGAGGAAATGACTGCTGAGTCTTTCCTGACCAACCTCAAGGCTGGAGAGATTGCTGAGATGGTGCTCAAAAGATCTGCGACCACTCGGGAGGAGCTGAACGCCTCCTCTGTCTTGGACGAGAGCTTCCTGGAAGACATGAACAAGCAGCGTCAGGCGCGCTTGGGTTCTGAGATTCTCAAGAACCCCAAGGATCCGGTGTATCCTTTGGTGACGGAGTATGCGGACGTGGTGAACAAACACCCACCGACCCAACTCCCACCGGATCGAGGCGTACGGCACGAGATTGATCTCGGGCCCGGCACAAAGTATTGTGTCACGAGGCAATGGCCTCTCCCGCGCGAGCAGTGTGTCATTGATGCCTTCTTCGCCGCGAAAGCGAAGGCAGGCATGGTGCGGAAGGCGAAGTCCCCGCACTCGACGCCGACTTTCTGCGTTCGTAAGCCGAACGGAAAGTGGCGTCTGGTTCACGCTTATAACAAGCTGAATAACGCGACGGTGCCGGCCCACACACCAATCCCACGAAAGGATGTGTTGTTTAACAACATGGCCGGAAGCGTACAGTACAATGCGCTGTATTTGGTAGGCGGATACTACCAGATCCTGATGCGAGAGGGCGACATCCCGTTCACCGCGGTGAGTACTCCAAGCGGCATGCTTTGGGAGTGGCTCATTATACCGCAGAGCTTGTTTAGCGCCCCGGCGACATTCAATCGGCTGGTGACGCAATTGTTCAGGCCACTGCGCGCCTTCGTACAGACGTACTTCGACGACATCTTCGTACATAGCCGTGCCGAGGGAGGCAAGACGGCCATGGAGGTGCATCTGGGACACCTCCGTCGAGTGTTGGACGTGATGCGAGCGAACAAGCTCTACGCCAACATCGACAAGTGCGTCCTCGCGTCACCAGGAGATTAAGGTTCTCGGTTGCTTCGTAAGCAACGTGGGCGTTCGGGCTGCCCCGGACAAGGTCAAGGTCATAGCTGTCTGGCCAACGCCCCGATCCCAGAAGGATCTTCAAAAGTGGTTGGGCTTGGCCAACTACCTTCACAAGTACAGACGCAGGGTACGCGGGCTTCGCTAAGCCCTTGTCGAGCCTCCTTCAGAAGGACGTCGACTGGCTCTGGGAGCAGGAGCACCTGAATGCCTTTGACAGCATCAAGGCCAGTCTCCAAGAGGCCCCTGTACTGGCCCTGCCGGACGAGACGAAGCCGTTTAGCGTCGTCTGCGATGCCTCCGATTACGCAATCGGATGTGCATTGCTACAAGCCGACACGGCTGGACACGACCGAGTCATCTCGTTCCAGTCCAGGCAGCTTAAAGCCGCCGAAGGGAACTACCCTGTCCACGACAAGGAGCTCCTGGCAATGAAATATACCCTTGTGAAGTTTCGTGTTCACCTTCTCGGCTCTAGGCCCTTTGTGATCTACACAGACCACGCGTCCTTGAGGACGGCGACTAACTCGCCTCACCTCTCCCAAAGAATGGCGAGGTGGCTGTCCTTCTTCGCGGAGTACAACTTTCGCGTCGGGCACAAGCCGGGCAAGCTCAGCGTGCTTGCAGACGCCCTCTCTCGGCGTCCCGACTATGAGTTGGTCCACATCACGCGGGTGACAACGGATCTATATGATCGGATACGCATGGCGTATCGGGACGATGAGGCTGTCGCGCCTATCGTCAAGTTTCTTAAGGCCGGAACGAGCGCGAAGTCCGACTGGCTCTCGTCGCGACAGCGCTCACGACCGATATGAGTTGACGGAGGGTCTCCTCTATTATCGGGTGGAGCCCACTGATCCTCCACGGTTGGTCGTACCCAACGACGAGGATCTAAAGCTCGACATCCTCGCGGAGGCACATGACGCGCCCTCCAGCGGCCACTTGGGCCGGGAGAAGACCTTTCTGTCAGTCTTTCAGTCCTTTTGGTGGACCCGGGGTCGCCCGGTACGTAAAGACATGCGAAACATGTCAGCGGGTCAAACCCGCAGGGCACTCTTCGGCTCCACTACAGAGCCTGCCCGTACCGGCTGATTGTTGGAAGTCGATGAGTCTTGACTTCATCTTTGGGCTTCCCGCCGACGGACACGGCAACACCGGAATTTAGGTGTTCGTGTGTCGGCTGAGCAAGATGGTACATCTTGCTCCAGTTCCCGTCACTGTTACGGGCGAACAAACCGCAAGGTTGTTCGTCGATGGCGTGTTCCGCTATCACGGTCTCCCAGAGACGATTGTCTCGGACCGAGACCCGCGGTTCACTGCTGCTCCCTTTACTGGGAACTCGTCTGCAGATGTCCACTGCGGACCATCCGCAGACAGACGGCCAGACAGAGCGCGTCAATCGAGTGCTCGAGGACACGCTGCGCAGTGTGTGTGCGCGGCAGCACCACGTACGTGGTCGACGCAGCTTCCAGTTGTTGAGTTTGCGCTCAACAACGAGATGCACGCGTCCACGGGGTTCACGCCGTTCTACTTGAACGGCTTCCGCCACCACAGAGTGCTTCTCACTCTTCGAGGAGACACCGACTCCTCTATTCTAAGTGGGGGAGAGGCTCGGAAAGATCTTTCCTCCCAGGTCTCGGATGTGAGACCAGTTTCGCTGCGGAGACAGGTGGAATCCGTTATGGGCACCAAACTGAACATTGTCAGCAGGGTCCGCGATGTCATGGCAGCGGCCCAAGATA